ATGAGACCCTTTGCAATTTACACAACTAGGGTCAGCACTACATGTGGTTCTCTGATTACCTGAAATTCCACATCTAGCATAAACCCTAGTGCACTGGCAAAATACCTATGTACGGCCGAAACGCTGGCACTGATAAGATTTTAGACATTTCAAACAAAACAAAACTAAACAAAAACCGGTAATTCGGAGGTAAATTCGAAGGTGTTAAATGTCAAAATTACATTGTTCGTTGCGATCTCTTTCCAATCTCTACAAACATTAATATAACAGACTGCCATTACTCCGTGGTCAGATATTCCATCAAGAATAAACGTTCCTGAATAGAAAAAGAGATTTTTTTTATATCGCTTCATAAGAAATCTCGGTTGTGGAATGTGGAGAAATATGTATTGAAACACTCTCCTAATTTCTTCGTTTTAAAAATTCTTCGTTCTTTTGGGTTGGTTTGCCGTTTCTATAAGAAGAACGCCATATCTTTATTTTTGAAGATTCTGGGAGTTGCCAATGACCGTAGATTTGGATTAAAAACAGAGATAGAGCCCCTAATGTACGCTAAGTATTTGAATGCAAAATAAGATAGTGTGAATGCACAGTTACAACAAGATCAGTGTGTCGATGTTTGGTTGTTAGTGAGTTCATAATTAAAGAAATAATTTCAGCTTCTGGTGACCCGAACCATTACCAAGCCCAAAAACGGGATGCTATACCGTGAGCAACACCTACAAACGCACCACGGTTTCGCTGGAGCCATATAATTACAGCGTAGCCAGGTAGAAGACTAATCTGTCCGAACTACATAGATCAGTTGACTCTCCAAGCTAAAGTTCCAACAGACTCTAGAACAACCTGATTGACTCGGAGCCACGTTCCCGTTTATGATATTGCCCCTTAACTGCCAGGATTCCCTTTCCGCCGTACGGGTATTCAGGAATTGAAATCGCAAAAAGATTCCGTTACTAAAAGTAGCCTTAAAATCGTGACTCATTTTACTTTTCCGACTTTTAACTATAAAAAACAATGGAAAGTTTGGATATTTTGCAGAAAACTCACATAGTCAAATTTGACACACCTCTACGTTTTGAGACTTACTGAATCCAAATTGTAAATAACAAAACAGCAAAAAAATTTCGTAGATGTGTGTGTATGTTTGCATCTATTTTGCGTAATATCTCAGGATGAGGTAAAGATTAAGAAACAAAATTTGGCATAGTGGCTTGTATATGAGGGGCATCGCTGCTATTGAATTTTTTTCATGAATGATCGCGAAAGTGGAGATATATAAGGGATGATCTATCTCGAAAAGGATAGGACTTACTGTTAATTACGAATGAAATCTTCATATACACTTTATTTTTTTTTTATAAAACTCACCCCTACGCTGTAAAATAAGCATTTTTCGTTTTATAATAATTAAATCTACTAAATTTTGTTATAAACACTTTTTATAGCAGATGACGTCACATAGAGTTATATTATTAAGTTTTTTAATAAAAATTAATAACAGGTGGAAAAGTTACATAACTGTCGTTGCAAAATTTTGAATAGAACTTAATATAAGATTAAAAAATACAACATTACAATTAGAAACAAAAATGTTAATGCTGTAGTCTGTGTGTAGTCTTGATTTCTTAAGTAATAATACTATACGGCCGTATTTAGTACGGAGAGTCCGTATATTAAGAATTTTGTACAGAGGATTCCTTGGCATATCACCAGTGTTTAGTCTTGCTTATTCTATATATTAAACAGAAACATATCTTCTGAACAACTGCCATTGACAAGTACTGTACATTAAAAAAGACTGTTGTTCGAGAAGCTGTTTCTGGACGTGATTGCTATTCGAAGCTCGAACTTTATTTCAATTGAAATTTTTTATCTATGAATAAAGTGCATAGTCATATAAAATTATTTAGTGTTTTATTAAACGCTTTTTGCTTGTGGACACTAAGAGAGCATTTTTTATCAAACTTATAATTGGTGTATCTAGGTATTGATGGACGAATCTCGACGAAAACAACCTGCTAATGAAAATTACAGGAGTTAGTCGCCCGTATTTGATACTTGCTTTCTCAGAGTAGTAGTAGTAATCTTCTCGGCCAACTCACCGGCTGACATCTATGGAAATCAAATTCTTTTGTACGAAAGAATAAATAGCGAATCTAAAAAATCATTAAAGTGAGATATAGAAACAAAACAATATATCTTACTAAATAATTAAATTAATTAACTATCTGAAATACCAGCTTTACTCGTAAAACCCCCCAGAAAAAGAAACAGCTGTGCCATACGCATCTTCTTAAATCCGCCTCTAGAAAGAGAAATGTACGAAGATTGACGACCGACTAAATTTATCTAATGAATACCTATAATTTCCCTCATAGAACTAAATTTACTAAATAATATTTCTTACAATAAATACTAATATATTATGCGATTTTAACATTTTAAAACTATAAATATTAATTAACATATTTTAGAATTAATCTGTATACATTTTTTAACTAGGGAACTTCGTAGTGTAAGTACTGCTAATTATTATCACGGGCAGATCTACAGAAGGGCTAATAGGGCTTAAGCCCTGGGCCTCCAAGTGTCAAGGGCCTACGAAAATCGAATTATTAAATTTTTAACACTTTTTCATTAACAACGAGCGCTTATCGTATAGTACAGTGTTTCTCAACGGGGGCGATATCGCCCCATGTGGGCGTCATTCCATGTTGAGGGGGCGATTGGAAACAATTTTAATTTGGGGNTAACATATTTTAGAATTAATCTGTATACATTTTTTAACTAGGGAACTTCGTCCCTACTGAGCACGCTCGTTTACGTTTTAACAATACAAAATTTATAATCAAGATTTTTCAGATAAGATAATGATGCAAGAATAAATAAAATTAAATAAAAAAACAGGCATTAAAATTATTACAAAAAAAATCGTATTTTTACAGTGAACAATGAAACTGTCAACACAATGATACGTGAAAATTTAGTTACTTTACTTTTAATTTCAGTATAAATTGCCTAAATAAATCATTATGTACTGAAGAATCATTGTTTTTACTAAAAATGAAGTGACACTATATTTATAAAAGTATTTTTGTTTAATCTGCTATTTCAATTCCCTTGTTGCATATTAACATTTTCTTGTCAATACAATGAATTTCAAAGAAAAAAAGTGTAACATTTAATTACTTTGTCGTACACTAACATTTTGAAACGTACAGTCGAATGTAATTAATTGGAATTATTAGATAATTCGAACAGGTTTAAAATTTGTTTTAAAAGTAGCGCTAAAAATACACTAAAATGTAATATTTTACTATAAGTTCAAAGAAATCTCACGGCGAAGACTATTATTTCCTCGTGGTGTGTGAAAGAGATGAAGAGAGAACACACTTAAACTACGGTTTATTTGACAACTGTAAGTTTATAATTTATTATTACAGTCATTTTTATCAAACTCATTTGATGAGTTATACCATTTTACTAAAACATATTCGTTTTAATTATGTTTTGTTAAATCGTATTACAGTATTCTGCTTAAGCACTATAATCTGATTTAACAAAACTATAACATTATTAAATCTATCTTTATTTAATTCATTTCTATTTTTCATTGTTTGCGATATATGTCGTAGTCAATTACTAATGTATTAATATAGTATCAGGAAAACTTACAGCAAGAATGGGGACCACTTAGGGAAAATTATTAGAAAATCACTAAACTGTACTATTCAGTAACAAAAAAATGATTATCTAAGGATAATTTTTAATCTTGTTTTAAGAAGCGTACATAAAATAACTGAAGGCTCAATTACAATAAGTGAAAGTTTTCTTTTCATGGTTACTTTATTCAATTAAGTTATTCTGTTAAAGCTGTTATGCCTACACAGACAATTACTATCACTTAAATAGTGTTATCCGAAAATAAGAACTTTTGTGATGTTTTTACGTTAAAACACAAAACATTAATAGCACTTGTTGTAGATAAGTACAGTACGTTGTCTTTACCTTTTATCGGATATTTAAGGACAAGAGTCGAATTTAATTTAAATTATTGTACATTATTTTAAATTTCGAAATATAATTAAATATACAATTAAAATATGCTAAATTTATTATGTAACTGAATAAGAATAACAGCTCATTTTCTGCAATCATCTAAGATTAAAATTCGACAACAACTCTACTACCTGCTGTTTTTTAAAAATCTACCAACAACCGCAATACTTACTACACCTTAGAAATCTACCAACAATCTATTGTTCTTTAAAATCTGAGTATAAATTTTAGCTAACCTGTATATATCGGGAGTAATACACATCAGGTCTTTGTCCCGTTCCTACTTATTGCCAACTCCAACCGAAAAACTCAATTTCAATCACTAAATCATATTTTCGTGTTATCAAAATAATTCATCTTAAACGTCTGATAACATAATTCCATTCTAAATTTTTGATAGACAAAGATAAAAGTTACAGAATGTAACTTTTTCCTGCATTTTATGCAATTAAACATTAGTTATTGTTAAGGATTCATCATGTTCGATTGTAGAACAGTAATTTCCTGAGGATGGCCTATTAGAAATAGGTTGAAAGCGTTTGAATATTAAATTAATAGTAAGCTCAGCAAGTGTTTGGTGTTTGATTATATTTGTGTGAGAACCGAGGGGACAGAGCGTCGAGCCTCTCCCCACTTATCGGCTTCTTTGTCAGAGATGGTCGATGTGTTAACGAATAGGAGGGGTAGCTTGGTCATGACAAGGTGTCGATTGTACTCAAGTATGACACAGAATTAAGGATAAGATAAATATATTTAATTAGCAAACAAGCGATACAAATCGAATATAATCAAAGTACTACTAAAAGGAAATAATTCAAAAATACTTCTAAGTCGTCTAATTATCTAACTCTACAAGACATAATATTGTCTACGATCGAGCTATGATCGAGAGAGCGAGACGAAAGAGAGAGAGTATCAAAATTTGGTTAGGTGATTACCTCTTGAATTCCCGATCTCGTTGTATAGGACGTTGGTGAAACGCACCCGGATTGGCGGTCCTCTTCTTTCAATCAGGTCGGTGATTATGGAGGGAAAACAAGAGTTGCAACGAACGGAATGGCGGTATGGGTCTGGTGTTCCCGTGATGTCCGCTGGTGATGTCTTTCGTGGGTGTCGGCCCGGCTGTGTCCACCCTGAGGTGCAAGACCACTTTTTATACACATCTCGGAGGGGGAATTATTGGGGGAAAATCTGATACAATCGCATGTAAGTTCGACTCGCGTCATTAGTTGTTTACTTTTACTTGTCAGGAATCGAACGGTTCGTTAGATTTATTACTTTTTCTACTTGTTATTGTGACACCTTCCCATCATAAATTTGACAACAGCTGTCAAACTTACTAAATTAATTGCTACAAATGGCTAAGGTCAGAACATCTGCGGTGCCACCTGGGTGATGATTGTGTAATTGCGGGTCATTTGACATATTTTCTTATCATTTTGATCGGATAGCATAAGAAGAGGAGGTGGTTTATTCAGTACAGTCTACCCTTGTAATTGACCTTTTTGTTACCTCTATCATGTGGAGGTTGTTGTTAATTGGCTACTTATTTGTACATTGTAACGAAGGTGAAACTGAATAATCTCCTGTTGTGAGATGAGAACTTTATTTGTCGTCCTAAACGTCTTTGAAAGTCTAGAAGGTCACCTTTCGAAGTGACGCAAAAGTTGACTCAATGAGAAAAAAAAAATGAGGAAAATTTATCGAAGCTCAAAAATTCACGCAAGAGCTCGAATTCTCACACTTGTAAGTAAACGGCTGAGAAAGTGAGGATAACCTACTAACCTTACTTTTATCTGAAACAGAAATATCACATAAACATATTTAAATTTTGGAACATTTTCTGTATATGTAAATGATGCAAAAATGTCTACAGAGCGATGATAAACAGAAAATCATTTGTAACGAAAAAATCGACTAAACAATAAATCGAAAAATAATGAAACACTAGTCACCATCAACGTGACTAGTGACACGTTCTACTAAGCACTATTTTTTTGTTTATATTACTTTTAGTTTTATCTTGATATTTATCGCTTAGTAATTTCAAAACAAGCAAACATGATGACAATGCCGGGATGCAACTTTTAATCTCATCTTAATTTACTTAAGCTAAGGTCAACATTTAGCACAGAAGCTGTCCAAGGTGATATACTATAAATCTCCGGCTGTAAAATGTTGCCTGTGTTCAGATCAATTGTGCTGCTCACATTCTCCATTCTTATGGCGAATGAAGAGACACTACTTGGGCGAGCTTCAAATAACCTTTTCAGCTGAGTATCTAATACTGTACAATCAACTGAAGGTTCAGTAAGAGATTTTTGTTTTATATAATAAAAAAGAGACAACTGTTCTCTCCTAAGAGACAGTGGAGGCTCATAAGCATCCACATACAAACTTTGTACAGGAAAAGTTCGAAAAGAACCAGTGCACAAACATAGTTCTTGATGGTGGATTGGATCCAGCATCCGAAGAGTAGATTTGCGCGCAGAGCCATAAACAATGCAACCGTAGTCTAACCGTAGTGCTTAAAGCGGACAAGGGCCATATAAATTCTGAACATAAAACATTTGTCTGCTCCCCAAAATGAGCAGCACAGTACCTTTATAAGGTTTAGAGATTTTAAACATCTACTCTTCAGGTTGTCCAAGTGTGGCAAAAATGTCAGTTTTTGGTCGAAACAAACACCCAAAAACTTAGCCTCATTCACTGTTGGAATTTTATCCCCATTTAAATAAATTTCGGGATCCAGGTGCAAACCATGCCTTCGGCAAAAGTAGATACACGAGGTCTTCGTTGCATTAAATGTAAAGCCATTCGTCTTGGACCAATCGTATATGCGATTTATAGAGGTTTGCAGTTGTCTCTCAATGAAACTCATATTATTAGATTGGCAGGAGATCTGAAAGTCATCCACATACAGAGTATGTTTCACACTGGGAGGAAGACAGTTAGCTATGCTGTTGATTTTGATTAGGAACATAGTCACACTCAAAATACAATCTTGAGGTACGCCTTCTTCTTGCGTGAAAGGCCTAGATAAAGTGTTGCCCATCCTGGCATGAAATCTTCGATTCTCTAAAATGTTTTTTAATAAAAATTGGCAAGTTACCTCATAATCCAAATTGGTACAGATGACGAAGTATTCCGTATCGCCAGCAGCAATCGTAGGCCTCTATATCTCTATATCAAAAAATACAGACACTTAAGTACTGTCGTCGAACAAACGTTTCGCGTATAGATGTTTCAAGGTTTACTAAATTGTCTGTGGTACTTCTGTTCCTACGAAATCCACTCTGTTGTGGTAAAAAGTAGTTCTTTTCCTCTAGGAGGAACATCAGGTGTCTATTTACCATCCTCTCAAAGAGTTTACACAGGCAACTTGTCAGAGAGATTGGTCTGTAATTAGAGGGATTCTTGTGGTCTTTACCTGGCTTGGAAATGGGGATAATGATAGATAGTCTCCAAGAGTCAGGAAAAGTATGTTCTGTCCATATTCTGTTAAACAGATTCAGGAGATTAGAAAGAGAATTCTTTGACAGATTTTTAATCATGCTGTAGTGGATTTTATCCGGGCCTACAGCACTATTCCCTGAACCAGAGATCGCTGTATGTAGTTCTATGCTGGTGAATAGCACATTATATTCCTCATTGGATGAGGAATGAAAGTTTAAACACTTTTTTTCTTTTTAAGCTTTATAAACTTGAAAATTCCTTGAATACATAATATTGCTGGATGAAGCAGAAAATGTTTCACCCAACGTATCAGCAATATCCTGTACATCGCTGATTATTGTGCCATTATTTTCTAGCATGAACAGAGAGTGGGAAGCATATTTCCCATTAATTTTATGGATTTTATCCCAGACTGCTTTTGAGCTAGTGGAGGATGTTATGCTAGAGACATACTTCCTCCAAGAATCCCTTAGGCTCTGTATTCTTGTTCTTCTGGCATTTGCCTTTGCTTTTTTACAACAACCAAATTGTTAGCAGTGAAAATCCTCCATGCTTTCTTTTGTGCTTTAAATGCTGCCTCACAATTCTGGTCCCACCATAGTTTTGGATGCTTTGGATATCTAGTTGATGTTTTTCCCATAGATTTTTCAGCTGCCTGAATAATACACAAAGTGACAACTTCAACTGCATCATTGATATCAGCAGTATTGACCATTTCCTCAGTTATGTCAGCCAAAGAGGAGAATGCAGGCCAATCTGCCGTTTCAAGTTTCCAGCGTGGTGGACGGGCTGTTTCACAGCTTTCTCTGCGTTGATATTTTAGAAATATTGGAAAGTGGTCGCTAGAGAGTGGATTAGATTCAACCTTCCATATAAATGCTGAAAACAGGTTTGGGCTTGCTAAAAATAGATCAATAGCAGTAAATGTTCTTGTTGGGGTATGGAAGAATGTCACTTCTCCAGTATTAAATAAATACATTTGCTGATTGCCGATAAATCTCTCAATGGCTCTGCCTCGAAAACTGATGTCGGGACTGCCCCACATATGATTGTGGCCATTGAACTCACCAAGTAAAAGAAATGGTGTTGGCAGCTGTTAAACTAATGAATCCAATTCATCCTCATTGACTCTGAGTTCTGGGGGCAAGTATATAGAACAAACTGTGACAGTTACTCCAATTGAAATCCTGACTGCCACAGCTTGCAAATCAATTCATCAAAAAAAATCAGTGGTGATTTGTACCAGTAGGGATGGAATGCAATTTAAAACCAGAATAGCCACACCGCCACTGGCACAGTTGTCGCTATCATCATCCTTGCGGTAGAGATCAAATCCTTTTAAAGAGATTCTTTCTCCAGGTTTTAGGTGGGTTTCCTGCAGTGCCACGCAGAGAGATTAAGTAGATAATGTCAAGAGTTTAATGTCAGAAAAGTTGTTGCAGAAACCACGACAGTTCCATTGGATTATTTTATAATCCATTATGTGTTTGAGGCAGCTTTCTTTGTGAAGGTATCCCTCTTTAATTTCACGGGAAGTTTTTCTTTTAGAGGTGACATTGGTTGTGTCACCACCATATTATTTTCTTTATCAGAAAAGTCGGAGAACTCACTCATAGACTGAGTCTCTGATTTTTCAGTTGATCTGGAGATAGCTGCTTTCACCTTTTGCTTGTTAAGCGGGTTTTTATTCGCCTTTTTTGAACCCACATTTCTTGTTGTAACCCCTGTTTTTGGAAAGGGTGTTTTGACCTTCTTGGTCTCCTTTTCTGATGTTTGGATAGATGGGAGAATTAAACATTTCGCATGGCAAGTAAAAGATACACTTGGAGAGACAAAAATATCGATTTGAACCCCACATGTCTAACATGTAATCTATTATAAAATTCTTTCCCCTTATTATAAAATTCTTTCCCCTTATCGATGTACTGTACTCCTCGATCATTTCCTCTGATCGAGGAGTACAGTACATCGATCTTCAGAGAGAAAAGGTCTACTACAAAAGCTCGCGAACCAGCTTCCGCCCAGAACCTTCTTCCCGAAAGGTTGGTGAATTTAAGTAAAGATGAAACCAAGATCTTTCACCTTCGGATCCATCGTGCACCTTCAATAGTTTGGACAAGAAACTCCAAAGAATTATCTCTCCAATCCCGTACAAGGGAGTATACAAAATATAGAATTTATGTAAACTCTCTCTCTCTTGCGAGTTAGGTTCAAATCGATTATCTTGTATATTGGTTTTGATTTATTTTATTAAATATTTTTATTATTATTTTAAAATGGCCTTATCTTTGTCTCGAATCCGAGCCTGCATTTACTTACTCGCAACCCTCCTACTCGAAATTACTCTCAAAAGAGTACAAGCGTGTCTAACGCTATATCTAGGCTGGTGTCAGGAAAAACAAACTTATAGGGGTTTCTCACGAACTTCTGTTCTTCATTTTAAGTCTTAGGAAGCCATCCTTCGACTCTGCGGGGCAGTCCAACTGATTGCGCTGCCGGATAAGTAGCAGAGTCTTACCCAGCTTCTCTACCCACGGCTAGCCCCTCACAATATGAATATACATCTTGTATGTTGTAAATGCACTATTATACTTCGCAGACCTTTGTATCTCACAA